TTCTAAGTATAGCCTGGCTTCCCCTTAAGTCAGGATACCCCAAACACCACTACGGTAACACATCCCCTACATAAGTAGTGAAGTTCCTTAAAATCACAAATGTTTCTCACTAGTTGTAGTACTGCACACCTTTAATCCCAGCATGGGGGTGGGGTGAGGTGTTTCAATTGTTTGTCAACTTTCTTTAAGTTGGAATATTATCAGAAAACATTAGAGAAAATAGGGAAAAAATGAAGCCAGGATTATTTTTAAATGCCTATTAAACCAAGAAAAACAAAACTGGGTGACTCCCCCAAAACTCAGCTTGCAAATTTGCCAGAACATTTTGAAAATAGCCACGTGACTCTTCAGCCTCACCTAGTGTGACTCCCTCAACTCCAACTCAACAGCTGTCACCAAGAACACAAGCACATGGTCTTGCCCCACAGTTGAGCAGTGGGTGAAAGAAGCACAGTCCACGGAGGGTTTCCTACCTGCCTCCCACACTGGCCTCCCCCTTTGTCTCCCCTTCTGAGGGTTCCTACCTGCCTCCCACACTGGTCTCCCCCTTCGTCTCCCCTTCTGAGGGTTCCTACCTGCCTCCCACACTGGCCTCCCCCTTCGTCTCCACCTCTGTTCCCAGACTTCTTCCACGCTTGTCAACAAAGCAACAGTAGTAGAGTATGGGACAGGCCCTCTTGGGTGAACTGATTGGCTTTTGTTACTTGACGATGGATAGCGAAGGATGTCATTTCGCCCCCTTTAGATCTCTCTTAGCAGCTGCCTTTCCTGTCATATTCTTTTGAGCCTCAAATGACATGAGAACCACGAAGCAGTGAACTGCAAATACAGCTACTGCTTGTTTCACATGGTGCCTTCCCAAACATCTCAGTGCAAGCTTAGGCTGGTGGGAGAAGGACTCAGTGGGCCAGAGGACTGGCTATCCAGGCATGAGGACCTGAATTTAGATCCCAGCGTTTACTTAAAGAGCCTGGCGTGATTGGCTGCACCTGTAGCCTGCATGCGCACTAGCAAGAAGGACCAGGAGTCTGGAGGATCACTGGGGTTGGTGAGTGTAGCAGGCGGAGATGTAGCGCTAGCCATGGCGCTGTCATGTGGGCACAGAGCCTGGGCGCCGTTTGCTGTTCCACATCAAACTTGACAGACAACTTGTGCACATGCGCGCGAGCTCCCCCCAGCGCGGGGAGTCTTTCGATCTGGCCATCCGATCTGGCCAATCATAATCTGGCACGATCACTCCATTCTGGCCTGAGCCATTGGGTTGATGACACGTCAGGGCTTTGTCTGGCACCATATATATTCTTCTGCTTCACAGAGACGGGGTCTTTTGCCTCTCTACAACCTCAAGTGTAAGTGCTCCAATAAAGTGTGTTCTGAGAAGAATCCTGTTGTGGTCGTCTCTTCTGCTGGCGGGAGCGGCGTGCCACAGGTGAGTCACCAGGCTAGCTCAGGGTCCAGTGAGAGACTCTCAAGGGAATGAGGTAGCTAATGACAGAGCAGGACACCAGATGTGCTCCTCTGGCCTCCACAGGCACAGAAGCACACCAACTGCACACACACATGCCCCGCTCCCTCCTCCCACACACCCATACAAAGGAAAATGAAGTTTAGGCTTGTGAGCCTGCAGGTTGCAGGCTCCTTTCTCTTGCTATGTTGGTGAGTTCCGGCAGGGCCCAGGCTTCTCTCAACCCCGAAGACATTACTTCATTAAGGAAAAGACTGAGTGGATTAGCGGTTTGTATGGCAAACTACTTCCTGTGTTC